GGGAGTGCCATAGCCGGTGGAGATTCTGCTGCTGTGTGAACGATCCGTTGATGCGTGCATGCCAGAGGTCGCCAACGGGTGACCGTGCCCGGACCCGACTGTACCCAGCCGTAACCGAGCAGTTTTGGATGGGTGCCGGTATGCCCCCAAAGGATGGTCCGGCTGGGTGTGAATATGTGTGAGAATATGTTGGGTGGAACTGGGCAGGGTGGGAAAGTTTCAGGGGGGCATGCCTGGGTGGGGTGGGAAAGTTTCAGTGGGGCATGGTTGGGTGTTGTCTCTATTCCCTGGGCGGGTATGGCTGAGTGGAGGTTTGGCCTGGGTGACCCGAAGCCGAGTGGAGGTTTGGCCTGGGTGACCCGAAGCCTGGAGGTTTGGCCTGGGTGACCCGACCCGAAGCCTGGGTGACCCGATTCACTGGCAAGGTGGCAGGTATTAAGGTTCTGTGAGTAAGAAATCTGCCCCCTAGTTCTTATTTTCCTACCGGTGTTTTTTTTCACCTGTTGTGGGAGTAGGCCCTAAAAAAATGGGCAAAAGACGCTATGCAGAGTCGCAAACCAACGGGCCTCACTCCACTACTCACCAAATGTGTAAGACGGGAATGAACCTTGTGGTACATCATGGGAAGATACCCCGCCTTTTTTTTTTTTTTTTTTTTTGTGCATGTGGTGAGCTGTGGAGCGGGGCTGGGCCTTTTGGGCGGAAGCAATCAACGACTCTCTCTTGGAGTTATGCAGTTTTTTTTAGTGCAGCATGTGAGAGGAAGTCAATCCTTCTCTTTGGGGGGGAAGCAATCAATACCTCTTTCGGGGTTATTCAGATTTTTTAGTCACAAATTTAGAATGTTGTAACTTGTAATGCAAGCCTTGGCCACTTGGCCTTTTTGAAGGGGAACAAAGAGTTCGCTGACCCACCTTGGCAACCTGTTCACATGTTTGATGTTATGCTTGTCGATGTTGTCGTTTTCTCAATGTAACTTCAAGCTTTTGAATGTCTTATCGGAAGTTATCACATTGTTGCAAACAAAGTTGTCACAAGCGCGGTGGTTGGAAGATGGAAAGTGAATTAAGAACATGCATAGACCCAAGTTTGAAATCAGGGAAGAAAAAAAACTTAAAAAAAGTGCATGGTGGGTGGTAAAGTTTGGGCATGGGGTACAACCGGGCATGGGGGGGTGGATGAAAATTGGTCGTGGGTGCGCGGGCGGATGGAGGTGGAGAAAATTTAGGTCTGGTGTGTGGCTGGGTAGGGGTGAGCATTCTAATGCAGCTGCTGGGTGAACTAGGCACGGGTACTAAAAATTTTACTTAGCTCGGGTGGGGTGGGTCTGGGGAAAAAAAAAAAAAAAAAAAAAATTGACGTGGGTGGCACTGGGTGCTGCTACACATGATATATTAAGGCTTGGATTGGGTCGGATATGGGTGGGAGGAAAATTTTCGTCTGGCAACCTCTGGTGCATGCTGTTTTTGTTTCCAGACGTGGATGCCGAAGCGCTTACAGGGGCGAAGGCGGGGAGGGAGTGCCCTAGCCGGTGGAGATCCTGCGGCGGCTGCTGCTGTGTGAATGATCCGTTGATGCATGCATGCTGTTTTTGTTTCCAGACGTGGATGCGGAAGCGCTTACATGATTGCACAGTAGGGCAGTCAGGCCTGCGTTTGCGTTTTTTTGGGGGGGAAGCGCTTTGTTGAATGGTTTTTGAAAATGTTTGGTCACATATACTGACTTGTATTTTTTTTCTATTGGGTGCAGGTTGGTTCTTCCCTGCCCGCTGCTCGTTTTGTTTCCACAATGTGCAAGTGTACACTGTACACGCCCTTTTTAAGGCAGATCGGGTGGATCTGGCGCTTAACCACACGAGAAGCGGCCAGCCTTGCTGTTTTCTGAACACTCTGCATTTTGGTGGATCTGGTGTTGATATTAGGTGATCTTTAAAAACCGACACACCGAGAGAGAGAGAGAGAGAGAGAGAGAGAGAGAGAGAGAGAGAGAGAGAGAGAGAGAGAGAGAGAGAGAGAGAGAGAGAGAGAGAGAGAGAGAGAGAGAGAGAGAGAGAGAGAGAGAGAGAGAGAGAGAGAGAGAGAGAGAGAGTGCCGGAGACGAAGAAAATGATGGAGGGTCGATTGGCGGAGAGCAAGAGGCTGTCTCTTATACACATCTAGATGTGTATAAGAGACAGGTGTGTGTGTGTGTGTGTGTGTGACTTTGTATTTGTGCCTCGTGCTGTTTTGAGTTGACATCATAACTGATTACCTGTCTGTTTGAAGGCCATCCTCCTGTAGGTAGTATTTCTGTTGAAAAAGAAAAAGCAAAATAAGAAAAGCATAATAAAGTACTGTTTTGTGTCGTGCTACGTCGATTCCATGTCATAGTCGTGTCATACTGCGGTCATTTCAAGCAGTTTCTGTTTATGTTTGTTCTTTCCATTGTGCCTGCGGACTTTGCCTGGAATTGAAGGGGATACCACGATACTTCTCTGGGAGAAGGGGGGGGGGGGGGGGGGGGGGGGGAGAGGGGGTGGAAGAGGGTTGAATTATGCCAAGCGTGTGTGTCATTTGTCCGCTGTGGCCATGGTAACTTTCTGTGTATCGTTCCAATTTTACTTGTAGAATTGCCCCGAACAAAAGGAAAACAAATGAATGGAAACCAAAAGTTTTCCATAAGGGTATTGTTCTTCACTGGACATCTTTCACATGGTCGTATGATTTCAAGGCTTATGTGCTATGCTCACGAGTTTTCTCCTTTTTTGTTATTTTGAACATTTCTTTTTTTTAAAATGAATAAATAATTTTTTTCATGACATCGTATTGTTCTTATGAGTGGCGGGTACACTATTGCCTGATTGTAGAATTCTGCTTGTCTGGATCCAGACTCAAGTTCTTGTCTGGATTAGTCATCCAGTACATTATGAATGCGAAGGGAAACTCGTTCTTACCTCAGAGAGAGAAACAAGATGAGCTTTGCCCAAAAAGGAAAAGCTGGAAGATGTTGAAGCATAAATGGTATGCCAGCCCACTTTTCACTAAGAACAACCAGAGCATTAAAATTAAAATTAATAATAAATATTAATAATAATAAAAACAGAAGAAAAAAAAAACAGGGCAGGAAGAGTCGTATGTAAAACCACAAGTTAATTGAGGGCGTACTGACACTAGCACTATCTTAAATGTATCTGACCGCATTTACGGCGCCACACCAGCAGGCATCTGGCCGCAATTCCGTCCAGAAATGGGTTAAAAATTGCTAGTGTGAGTACGCCCCAGACATCACCTGCCCTTCACTGCATCGCAAGCAGACAACAACAACCGAAAAAAAAAAAAAAAAAAAAAA